CAACATGGTGTGACGTCACAGAGAGAACGGGGACAGGAGTGTGACGTCACAAGGAGCAACATGGAGTGACGTCACAGAGAGAACGGGGACAGGAGTGTGACGTCACAAGGAGCAACATGGTGTGACGTCACAGTGAGCATGGAAAGTGGTGTGACGTCACAAGGAACAACATGGTGTGACGTCACAGAGAGAACGGGGACAGGAGTGTGACGTCACAAGGAGCAACATGGTGTGACGTCACAGTGAGCATGGAAAGTGGTGTGACGTCACAAGGAACAACATGGTGTGACGTCACAGAGAGAACGGGGACAGGAGTGTGACGTCACAAGGAGCAACATGGTGTGACGTCACAGTGAGCATGGAAAGTGGTGTGACGTCACAAGGAACAACATGGTGTGACGTCACAATGAACAAAGCAGTGTGACGTCACAAGGAAACCAGGGTGACATCACAGCGAGCAGGGAAAGCGCGGTGACATCACAAGGAACAGGGCACAAGTGTGACATCCCAGGAAGCCCCCCTCGCCCCTCCCTCACCGTGCTAGCGCCGGGGGTTCCTCGGGGGGGGGCAGCAGTCCCAGCAGCATGGTGCGGTTGGTGCCGGTGGTGCGGTTGTAGAGGGGACACAGGGCTCCGGAGGCTGGCAGCACTCCCATGGTGGCAGCACTGGGGGGGTACAGGGTGGCCCCCACGGCCACCCACAAGGAGAGGGCCAGGCCGATGGCCAGGCCCCCCAGCACGCCCTGCGCAAAGTAGTGGGGTCCACACGGCCCGGGGTGGGGCAGTGGGACCCTCGGAACCCTCCAACCAACACCCCCCCGTGCCCCGGGACTCACAGCTGTGGAGCACATGGGCAGGAACATGCCCAGGATGAAGGCACCCAGCAGAGGGCCACTGATCACCCCCATGACAGTGAAGGAGCCCTGGAAGGGGGGTGAGAACTTGGCCCCACCGCCCTGGCTGGAGGGTGGTGAGGAGGAGGAGAAGGAGAAGAAGCAGAAGGAGGAGGAGGAAGAAGAGGAGGAGAAAGAGGAAGAGGAGAAGGAAGAGAAGGAGGAGAAGGAGAGGAGAGCAAGGAGGATGAGGAGGAGGAGAACGAGGAAGAGGAAAAAGAAGAGAAGGACGAGGAAGAGGAAGAAAAGGAGGAAGAGGAGAAGTAGAAGGAGAATGAGGAGGGTGAGGAGGAGGAGGAAGAAGAGGAGAAGGAGGATGATGATGAGGAGGATGGGGATGAGGAGGAGGGTGCTTGGCTGTGCCCCAGACCCTCCAGGGCTTTCGGACAGCCAGTGGCGCGTGGCCAGGGCAGGGGGGGTCTTGGCTGGACGCGGTTCTGCTCCACGAGGCTCACCTGCAGCACACCCCCCCCCAGCAGCGAGGCCAGAGCAGCCACCGTGATGCATGAGGTGCCGTAGATGACCGCTGTGGGGAGAGGGGATGGCTCAGCACCGCTGGCATGGCACAGAATGGCATGACATGGCACAGCATGGCATGGTATGGAGCGGTGCAGCATGGCATTGCATAGCATGGCACCATGGCATGGCACAGCTTGGCATGGCGCAGCTTGGCACCATGGTGTGGCACTACGGCATAGCATAAACCAGTGTGGTGCAGCACAGAACAGGGCTAGCATGGCATGGCATGGCACGGCACGGCTCCCGTGCCCACTCACACAGCCCCTTGAGGGTCAGCCGCTGTGGTGCCAGTGTGGGCAGCTTGGGCTTGATGAGGTCCTCGACGGTGACGGCGGCCATGGCGTTGATGCTGGTGGAAGCCGTGCTGCAGTGCGGGCAGCAGTCCCCTCCTATGGGCAGCTTTGGGGTCCCCTTGGAGCGAGGGGTGCCCCATCCTCACCTCAGGGTCCCACTGTAGGCACAGGCCAGGAACAGCCCCGGCACCCCCGGGGACGTCTTGAAGATGTCAAGCACCAAGTAGGGCATGTACTATGGGGGAAGAGGCTGCATTGGAAGGGCAGGACCCCGGTTCCGTCCCTTTCACCCTTCCACCTCGCTGCCCTCCATCTGCAGCTTGAGAGGGCAGAGCCAGTACCTGGTCGGGGGCCGAGATGTAGCCAGCGAGGAGAGGATCGCAGTCCTTGTAGAGCGCAAACATCACAAGGCCACAGGCCACCGCGCTGGAGACGATGCAGAAGAGCCCCACTTGATTGACCAGCAGTGCTCTGCGAGCATGGGGAGGGAGAAACCCCCCTGAGAGGGGCCCTGCAGCATGTGGGGTCCATCCAGGGGTACACGGGCCATGCAGGGATGCAGGGCGATGCAGTCACACAAGGACAATGCAGGGGTGCAGGGTCTGTGCAAGGTCTGTGCAAGGTCTGTGCAGGGTTGTCAGGTCCATACAAGGGTATAAGGTTCATGCAGGGGTCCATGCAGGGTTGCAGGGTCCACACAAGGGTATAAGGTTCATGCAGGGTCCATGCAGGGCTGCAGGGGCCATACAGGGATGCAGGCAATGTGCTCCCTGAGGGGACAGGCTGGATGCAGCCATTGTGGCCATTGCAGCCATCACCCCCACCCAGAGCAGCCCCTTGCCCCCATGCACCATCCCATGCAAAGCAGGATCCAGCCCATCCCTGCATCCCTATGGACTCACATCTTGGCCTCCCTCTCGGTCCTGCAGGCCACGTAGCGCTGGACCTGAGCCTGGTTGACACCATACATGGAGAGCCAGACCAGCGTGCCTCCCAAAAGGAAAGTCCACACCGTGTACCGGCTCCGCGGGTCCGGGTTGAAGCTGGGCACCACGATTTGGGGTGAGCTGTGGCTGGCATTGACCCCCCTCCCCACACCCTGGCACCCCATGGGCTGTGGGGGACTCACTCGGCCAGGTTCACCCTGGAGCCATTGGCAGCAATGGCCAGCACCATGGTGGGGCCCCCCACCAGCAGTACCCCCCGGATGATGATGGCGAGGAAGCCAGAGAGCATCACGAAGACCTGGAAGACGTCTGTCCAGATGACAGCCTTCATCCCACCCTACACCAGACAGAGCCATAGTGAACACCAGGGCCCCCAGGGTCCCCCAGGACTCCCCACTTCCTCCCTCACTATGGTTGTGTAGAAGGTGCAGATGACTCCGGTGGAGAGCAGGGATGCCCAGATGTCCAGACCGGTCACTGGGGGAGAAGAGAAGGTGCTGAGCAGAGCCCTGGGGTGCAAAGACAGGGCTGAGATGTCCCCAGTGCAGGGATGGGGACACAATGGGGATCGCACCTTGGTTAAGGATCAGGGCCGGGGCATAGATGACAATCCCTGTGTACAGCATCTGTGGGAAGAAGGGGGTCAGCACCACATCCCAACAGCACCACGGGTATGGGGACGGAGCGTGACGGCCCTGGGAAAACACTGAGGTTTTCATTCCAAACACGGCTCCCGCTGGGATCTATTTGCTTTGAGCCACAGAAAACACGAGCTCGGGAATGTGGAAGCTTCCCTGGGGGGCTTGGGGCAGTGCCGGTACAGCCGGATCCAAGCCCCCACTGCGTGCCGAGGCCCCACTGTCCCCATCCCCGCTGTGCACCGTGGACACGCACCGTGGCC